TCTGGCATCAGCTGAAAACAAGACAGAACTGGCCTGTTTCCTGCCAAATGCTCTCATGGATGCAGCACCTCTTGAGAAAGTGGTCGTTGTCAGTGGTGGTTTTGCTTCAGAAACAGAATCCCAGAGTTCGGACCCTGCAATGGACATGACTTTGCTTGAAAGCAATCATGAGGAAGCCGATACCAGAATTATTCTTCATGCATGTCATACGGATGCACAGAACATTGTGGTGTTGGCCCGTGACACAGATGTATTAGTTTTGCTGCTGGCTCACTACGCAATAATGCCTTGCTCTCAGCTATGGCTAAAGGCTGGCACAATTAAAAAAACAAAATATGCCCCTGTGCATGAAATAAGAAAGGAACTTGGATTGGCTGATCACATCTATGAGACACTCCCTGCCTTTCATGCTCTGACTGGGTGTGACATAGTGTCTTATTTCGCTGGACACACAAAGAAAACTGGATGGGATACCTTCCTAAAACACATCAGTCTTTTCCTGGACCTTGGGAAGTCACCAAAGCCTTCAGAGCGGGTGTCGGGAGATGCTGAAAAGTTTATATGTCACATATATAAATCTGTTCTGTATAAATGCCGTGCAACAGAATCGTTGCCACCATCTAGTGATGCTGCAAAGTACCATATAGAACGAGCCAACTTTCAGTGTTTCATATGGAGAGAAGCCAGCAATCCAATGCCTGCTGTGCCCTTACCAACAGAATGTGGATGGCACCTTTCAGATGGAGAGCTTTCCCCTATTCTAACTTCACTCCCTCCAATCCCTAAGGCTTGCAAGGATTTAGTGCAATGCAAATGCACCAAAGGCTGCTCAACCAACAGTTGTTCTTGTCGGAGGTGGAGGGATCAGTTTTGCACTGAGGCTTGTAAGTGCAATGATCATGATGATGGACAAAAACCTTGTCGAAACAGAGCAAACTAGAATCTTGAATATTGCAACTTAGAATCTAGAATTGCAGCTTATATGGGCAGTTTTGTAGTCCAGTCAAAATGAAGTAAGAAATCCAACCTTTCTGTGCATTTGTAAATGAATGATGCAAGAAAAATGTAGACGTCAAAAGTCGCTCCCTTGGGGCGATATTTACAAAAATAGTAAATTCTTCTTTAAGATTTTCCTTGAAATCCAACTTTTTGAAATCCTGTTGTAACATTATTATTCAATATATTGTAAATTGAGTTAATTGTATGGATAGAGAATAATAAATGACACTTTTTAAAAAAAAAAATGAATTTTGTACTCATTGACCTTTGACCCAATTAGTGACCTAATTAGGCATTTTTGAGCTTAGCAAACAACAGATTCGTATTCAGCACTAAAAACTTCCCCAGAATACATGGTTTGCTTGTTTTACTCGAAAATGCCTCATGCATTCACATTTCTGAGAAATTTGACTAGTCTATTAACTGGACTGAAGATATCTGGCGAGCTTCATCCCAATGGGTCTTCAACCTTGCTTGCTTGTCAGGAGGTATATATATATATGTATTCTTCTTGGAGATTCCATTAGTCAACATTACTTGAACAGAGCTGAAACCCTCCGGGATATGTTCTACCCTACCTTTACAGAGTTGAATGGAGAGGGTTCCTGTGATCTTGAACAGAGCTGAAACCCTCCGGGATATGTTCTACCCTACCTTTACAGAATTGTATGGACAGGGTTCCTGTGATCTTGAACAGAGCTGAAACCCTCCGGGATATGTTGTACCCTACCTTTACAGAGTTGTATGGACAGGGTTCCTGTGATCTATATGTCCACAATGCCGGAGCTCACTTGGTGCAGTATGTGCGTATGTGGTGCCCAGTATGGTCATGGAGGTGCTTCCCAATCGAAGACGCCAATGTTATGCTACTACAAGCTGTCCATGGCACAGGAATAGTCCTCAAGCAAGTCATGCATTACAGACAAGTCTTGTATACATCAAACGGTTATGCTCCCAGGACGTAACACTTCCTGGAAAGTTTCCATCAAGGCTGACAAGTGCTCATGTGCCAGTGCCTCCAAGGAGTTCAAGCCAGGCGATATAGAGGCAAACATAATGAAAGAGCTTCAACATGTTCAAGTAGAAATCCTGGAAGATATCAGAAAGGTAGTCAGAGTGTTAATAGGTGTGAGAAGGTTTTATACAAAATGTTACTCACGAATGCAAGAAAGAGAACGTACCATTGTAATGTATGAAGAGAAAAGCTTTAAGAAAACTGGATCAGTCACTACTATTTATAAAGCAAAAAATATTGTTTATGTAGTTGTTGCTATTTTTTCAACTTGGTCAGGAGGGTGAAACATTTGCAAAGCATTTGATTCCCGTGGAAACAACCCCAATGCCTTTCAAACTTGTGGAACTAGATGTGCAAGAATAGTCACCATGCACAGGGCCTGGCGTGACCAGCCGATTGATTGAAATGGGCCCATTCAACCACCCGTCTAGGTGAAGTTAGGGCCGAAGTGGTGTGTTGGGCAATAGGAACACTGTTCCAGGCTCCTATGCCCTCAGCCACCAGAATCCCTTCCTCCACCGCAACCCACAGGAAACAGGTTGCCCAATTTGGTCTAAAGACCAGCAATGGGGTGCTGTGGACCAAATATACCCCCAGGTCCAATGGACGCGGTGTGGTCATTTATACTCTGAGGTGATTGCAATTTTTGGTGGGCTTAATGGGCACTTTAAACGACATGTTGGAACATGCAGTGAAGCAACTAATTCAATATTCGTTGAGTTTGAGTGAAATGAAACAATGTCAAAAACAGCGAAAAACAAGGGTCTGAAACCATGTACCATGATAGATTCAAATGCCCAAACACAACTTTCCATGCAGCTTTCCACCTACTGATCTGACAGGTTCACCAGTGTCAACCTAGATTGGACATACCTTATGTAACCATCCCAGTCTTTATCTCGATGCCTAGAAATTATCTCACTGATAATGCAGAGATGCAGGTTCCCTCAATCTGTCTGCGCAGCTGTGCGAGATCTTGGAGAATGTCACATTCCCTTGTCTAGGCCTATAGACAGTATACGTTTGTCCAGTGGAGGATAAGATGTGGACAAAGAGACACCACAGTCATCATTCCCATGGTTGTTGATTTTTGTATCATCCTGGTTTTCAACTTGATGGTAGAACAAAACCATCCTATTTTGAACAGGTTCATGTTATCCTTTCTCTTGGAAGACTTTCACACAATATATTCAAAGTGAACATGGTAATTAGTTTTATCTACTCTTTCATGCGAACCATGTCAACCTCCCACTCTCACAAAGGCTACATAACTCCAATATGCAAAGAAGCTGCTTTTTTATTAGACATGGCAGCAGCAGCTGGAGTATCTGAACTGCTAGCCTTGGTCTACTCTAACGTTACTTATAATAAAGACTGAACTTGACCCGATAGTATCTGACCTGGTGGATTGCCTTGACATATAGTATTCCCTGAAATTAGTGAGAAACATGTTTCGGCAAATATCTAATACATGTATGTAAAGAATAGAAGTTTTACATAAATGAATATGTTGAGATATGATTATCTTACATTCTAAGTGTCTTTTCAGTAACTTGTGATACATGACTGAATGCACCTATGTGCACTACGGATCAAAGTTTGTCAAAAATCGTATAACAATGTAACCTAATATTCAACCACTTTTTCTTCATATTCTCCTTTCTAAGTCTTTTCTGCCATATAGCTGGAAGATTGCTGAGTGCGGTGTTAAACTGAAATCACTCATTCTAAGTCTTGTAGGTTTATCTGTCCTTCATTAGTCCCCACACATTCTCATTAGGGTTAAGATTTGGACTGTCGTTGGACCAGTCTAAAAATTGAACATTTTGTCCGACAACCACTGTTTTGTGCAGCCCGCAGTTTATTTTGGATCGTGCTGGAGAATGTGTGAAATTTTGGGCTATGGTCTGGGCGTTAGTAGATAGATTTCATGGTATCTTTTGTCCAAATGTTCACACACTTCGGAAAAAGCCAGACAGAACTTTCATCAGAAAAATATGGTGTAAAATATTAGCCCCACACCAGTTTAAATGCCTTTCTTTTTGTGCATCTTTCATCCACCCAGTTAAGCCTTTGTAATTCTTGTCTAAGGGTTTCATTACATACCTGGGGACTTCCTCTATTAATCACCTCATTTCTGATATCATCAACGCTTTCCAAATTTCCCCTACTCACAAACTGACCAAGTTGCCGGCGCACTGTAGTACCTAACTTCCTTGGCCTCCCTGCCCGGACTGAATTTTCTTCAAAGTTCTGCGTACTTTAGACAGAGGAATGTCTTGTCTACCAGCTAACTTTTGTTGCATTTGTCACACCCCTTTCAAAATCATCTACAACCAGCTTTCTTTTCTCTTCTGCTGTCAAATCTGTCATGTCAACCAACGAAGCCGCATCCTACACCAGGGGAGATAAGACTTGATATAGTAAAGTTCATTCTTAAGCCTACAAGAGTTACCTTCCAAATTGAATACCTAACACAGTGGAAACCGCCTAAGTAAAGACCGCTTAACTAAACAGACCTGATAAGTAAACACTTTTCTTTGGTCCCGGCAACTTTCTTCATTAATTATCAGTCCAGTTAACTAAACTCGGATAAGTAAACAATACCGCTTAACTAAACGTCTTCTCACGGTCCCTGGAAGTAAATTACTTAACAAAAGAGACTGGATAACTAAATTAGCGATCACCACATAATCCGACATGAGGGGCAGTCGTGTCAGTCTCCAGTCAAACAAACATCCTACTTACAGCTCGCTGGCGTCATGCAGTTAACAATACACTGCCAGCCCTGATAAGTTGTTCATTGTTACATATGCATACATATACATGCATATGGTTGTCATTTGCAGGTTTTTATAAGTTTGGATAAGTAAAATACCTGATAAGTAAACAATTTTGGCGAGTCCCTTGAAATTTTACTTATCAGGTTTCCACTGTACATAATATAACACCTATTTTAAAATTCATGGTATGTTATCACTTTCAGGTGAATATGGTGCTGATGGTGCCCAGGAGAGTCACTCAACCTGTGCATCCTCGATGCCATCATATCAATTTCAAGTCAACACTGACGTGTTTTTTGAGGGTGTGTCCATTTTGAAGTCTTTGATGTTAAAAAGAATCTTTTAAACCTGGAGTGTATAATAATATCATAATAAAGAATGCAGCAGTACCTCTTAAATGACAACAACGCTCATGGATACATCCCTTTCATTGCCTTATTTTCTGAAACTTGTTTCTAATCCACAGGTTTAAGTTTAATTAAACATTTAGACATCCATCATCTTGTGTTGTCTTCTTGCTAGTGGTCTTCCCAATCTCTATCCGTTGGAATTATGGGAAATCTAAAGGCAGCAAATAGATTTCGACTTCCCCTTTGAGTGCAAATAATTGTTTACTTTCACGTTAGCTTATGTCCTCTCAAGATCATCATGGCCAGTTTTGAGGATATGTGGAGGCACCATGTTCCTTCATGTCCTAATTCAATTACTGTCACAATCTATCGCCGAATGCATTCGAATAGCATGCCCTGGAATAAAGAAGGGTCCGGATTAGAAGATGGCCAAGAAGTATCCCCTTACACGTGCCATGATCACAGATGATTTGGATATAGCAACTGACATTCAGATGGACTCAGGGGAGCATGACGTCCTCCTTGTCTGTTCTGATCCGATCACACCTGCAACTCCAGAACTGAATACATCATGGAGGATGTATTATCAGCTGCCATGAAACCTTTCGGTGAGCTTATGCCAAACTGACAGTCATTGCTGAGAGATGGTTCATGACGTCCACCCCTTGCAAGATGATAGAAACCAAGTCCAAGGCATGGATCTCATGGCAGGCCACGCCTGCACACTGACTGGTTTGCGAAACAGCAGATGCAGCTATTCAACAATAGGAGCTGTTACCTCCTTTTAGGCTGTTGTCGAGTTGAAACTCGGACCTCAGACTTTCAGGTACTTCTGGTTCTCAAGAATGATTCAATGGAACTCATCCTCTACTGGAAACACCTTAGATGACCACCTAAATTTCGGATGTAGTCCATAAGGGACTCTATGGTTTGCATAGGATCTACACATACATATCCATCTTGACTCTCAGAAATATCTATGCTTTGCTGTCAACGGGAGACCATTCCAGTTCAGAGTCCTCCCATTTGAAATATCAGTGGCTCCATGGCTATTCACGATGATACTGGTCTGGTACTTCCGTTTTTACATCACATCATGCCAGAATGATTTCCTGTCTTCAAATGTTGATGTAGATTACTCTTTAGACGACTCCCTATATCTGAGATATTTCCTTACGAATTTAGGGTTCTTAGGGCATAAAAAATCAGAAGTTCACCCAAACTAGATACAGAAGTATATAGGGGCCATATTTGACACTCAGCAAGGTATTGTTTACCCCTCTTTTGAATGCTATCAGGATGTCCAAACCAGGATATCAAAGTTTGAGAAATCTCCTCACACTCTACAGCAATGGATGACACAATAGGAGCGCTCACATCCATGCAGGATCTAACATTCAGAGGTTGCCTGCATCTCAGATTCATTCAGAATTTAATTAATCAACAGAAACAGCAGGACGTGTAATACCCATGGATCTAGTGGTCAAGGACCTCGGATGGTAGAAGAATCCCGATGACATTATACACGGGACTCCAGTCAGGATACCATTACCAGATTTCTTTTTCGGATGCTTTACTCACAGGAAGGGGAGCTCACCAAGGAGACAAGGGGGCATCAGGTCTTTGGGAGGTAGATTCATCAGTTCATCAACATCCAGCCATCCAGCACTAGGCATAATCCTCAGGACTCATTCCACATGACAACTTCTCTACTTGAAGACTAACCATTACATCTTCCCTAGTGGCCATTGCCTCTCAGACCCGTGAACGTCCGGGTTAGAATATTGGCCTTCAGTAACCCAAACTTGTCGTAAGAGGTGACTAACGGGATCGGGTGGTCAGGCTCACTGACTTAGTTGACACATGTCATCGATTCCCAATTGCGCAAGATCAATGCTCATGCTGTTGATCACTGGATTGTCTGGTCCAGACTCTATTATTTACAGACCACCGCCATATAGCTGAAATATTGCTGAGTGCGGTGTTAAACTAAACTCACTCACTCACTCACTCACTTGCTTCTCAGACAGATAAAAAAACCCATTAAGCTAGCCACCTACCTAAGGATCACTCCGTCCACATGAGGTAAGAGCCATTGCATTATCCTTAGCCTCATGGAAGACAGTCTCAAATGAACAGATCATGTCAGCTTGGCAGTAGGCATCCTCGAACACATTCACAACATTTTACCTGAGGGATGTGACCCAAGTCATGCAGGGATTGCGGTCCCAAATTATTGCCCAGCCTTTCCATACCACCTCGCCTTCATCTGCGGAGAAAAAAGGGAGGGGGATGGCAGAAAGCTTTTTACTTTTACTTGATTGAGGTAGATCACTTGCACAATTACAAGCCAAACATGTTTGTCACTTTGAGATGAAGGAAAGATGAAGAAATAAGTCATCACTGAAGTTGAATCTACATTAAGATTGGACCTGAGGTTGATTGATGTGATCCTGGAAGCTTCTGTTGCTGTATATAGTTGAGTCTAATGCCTCAAATGTTAGACCATGACTAAATTAATGTCAGTGGGTTATATCCAATCAGGGGTGCATCTTTGTTTTCATTAAATGGACGAGATAATACCATTATCAGAAGTATTGTTTACGGGAAATTACAACATAGTCGACCAAGACATAAATACAACAGCAAGAAATGTTCCCGAGTGTTATCAAAACAATGGCTGTCTTCCTAATGTAATTGGGGGTACTCTGGGCACACCAAGCCTATGTAGGATTCAGCTATCAAGTGTTAGAGGGATGTATTCATACGAATTTTGAGGCATTATCAACAATGATGATACTTCTTAGAATACTACCTCAAACACGCCCGTCCTTTCCCCGAATCTCAGACTACCTTCCTTGAGGTAAAAATATGAGGTTCCTGTGAGCACATCAACACTTGGGAAGACCACCAGGAAGTAAGACAAAAACAAGGTGATATTAAAATATGTTAATCAAGTTTAACTTTGGATCAGACTCAAGTTTCAGGAATTAAGTATTCGAAGAATTATTATCATTGTTGATAATATTTGAAATGTAGTCCTATTGCTGCCAATTGTGAAACCTTAAAATATAACCTACTCAGTCTACATTCAAAGATAACGACTGTTCCTGCATTAATGTGAGATTCTCTAATAGCATATAATGCCTTGTATCTTTTTTTTTTTGACAGAAGAGAACTTCATTGACCAGACAATGTTACTGTCGTATGCACGTCAGGTTGCTCTTGGGATGGTAAGTGAGGGAATGCGTGAGCAAGTTGTAGTTTTACGCAACTTTTAGCAATAATCCAGCAATATCACTGCGGGGGACACCGGAAATGGGCTTCACACATTGTACCCAATGTGGGGAATTGAACCGGGTCTTCGTCATGACGAGCAAACACTTTAACCACTAGGCTACCTCGCCGCTCCGTGATGGTAAGTGGTTTATATATATAATACTGTTAAATGAAAGATGTTCATTTCTCACCTTTAAATGATTATATTATGACAAGGATGTTCCTAAGTCATATATTCATAAATTAGAGTATAGTATCATAAGTCGCACATAATGCAAATATTTTATATTGGCTTGAAGTATGATAGCAATATGATGGCCTACCTTCAGAATTCAGCACAACAAACTTTACAAACACGTCACAATACCATGTGAAGAAAGTTGTGAAATTTTGTTGTGAAAAACACTGGCATAGAAATGCTCCTCTCAGTGACCTGTCATCTCTAATTATTATCACCAGCGATGTTGGTGTTTGCCATTAGGTGTTTCACATTCTACAGGAAGTGGCAATTTATGGAAGCTCTTATAATTTAGATATATTCAATATCAAATATTTTACTAATATTTTATGGGACTTAAATGGATTATAAACGGGAGCTAATAGACCTTTACTGCTCTATCTACCGTGGCACATTTTTGTGAATAAATCAGTTCTTTAGCCTCTGGTGTTGCTATGTGAATGACAAGAAAGACAAATGCTTGGGTTGAAGGAGGTTGTTCCCAATTTCTGTGTAAAGGATGGGAGCTGAAGCTTTAGCTTTTGTTGGCTATTACTTTTAATTTTGCAGTTTCATCTGTAACATTTTCCCCCAAAGCATCAAAAGAATATGATGAAATAATTTGTGGTTGAAAATTTTGGCTACTAGACAGTCTTGGATCTTTCATTTAGCCACTTTCACATACTTCGTGCCACATGTATTTGTTCAGTAGTGATTCAAAAGCCGACTCACCCACCAGACGTTACCAGCCATGCTTATTCCTTCGCATGGTCCATGTTATACTTAGAGTGCTCCCCTGCAACACTTTCCTGTCCAAAAATCACCGACACATTCTTTAAAAGCATTTCATTCATGTGTACCACGAATTTGGCATATGATGCCTGGCATCTTCTTCCGTTTCAGTTTGTGCCATATCGGGTCATTCCACACCACTCGGTATCTTGTAGATTATGAAATGGGACATTTTACGGATTATTTCCCAATTTGAAAGTTAACCAGAAATCATTCCGTAAAAGAACTGGGTATGACACCAACAAACAACAAAACTGTGATGTAATTATCAGTTGTATTATAAAATAAAATAAAATAAATACATCTAAAGCAATGCAGAAGTATCACTTTGGCAGCACAAATTAGACTCAAAGATAATATACAAGAGCCGTGATTATAATAATAAAGATGGTGATGGTAATATTTATCTCCCAGGAAACGAACGAATGAATGCTTTACACAGCATCAGCGGCTAGGCTGGTCTTGATAAATCTTGAGATGTAATGTGAGACGAGAAGCATGCATTAACTCTCCTTATATACCAAAAACTACCAGATCTTTCTACACTGCTATGCTCTCAGTGTCCCTGGAGATGCCTATAGGATTGTGGTGATTATTATGCAAGTCTAAATATATCACATCACTGCCCCTCACTGGATTTTATACATACACTGTATTACACTTTAAATGTTGTTACACAATGAATAACACTGCAACATAACATAATTATGATTGTGCCAAATGGCATTGACATCTTTCATGAAGTGTCCTTAGATTAAATCACGAGACACCAACTTTACCTGTAACATTTGTAATTGGTTGTGACCTATTTGATTCTTTCCATTTATTTCTGTAATGTCACAGGCATGACTAGATAAATTTACACATAATGCAACAGTGTGAACATGGCCCAGTTGGCAGCTGTCAGGCTAACAATCCTGATGTTGTGGGTACACATCTGATGGATCCGCACTAAACTGGCTGCATGCCTTAGTGACGTGAGAACTTTGTGACACAAGAAGGTGCTGTATTTTAAAGGTGCTCCCAGAAGGTATCCAAATGAAAGTTATATTGGAGCATCTTCCGAGTGCAGCAACACAACTTTGTGTGAATATGATCTCTGCTGTATAACACGTCGCTAAGACAAGCAACCAGTTTTGTGTGAATCCATTAGCCCACCAGTGACTGAGCTATGTCCAGACTGTTACACCCTGTGTAAATTAATCAAGTAATGCCTAAGACCCAACATAACTAAACAGAAAAAGTCGCATAGCTCATTGACAATTATAAAGGTTAGGGGTAAAGATGGTCTCTCCTGACTTATGAATGATCCTGATTTTGAACACTTGTTCTATTCTGTCATCCACTACGTAGAATGAATTATGTTATGTGTTTACTAACCAGGAATCAGCCAGTAAAAGAATTAAGTATGAAACCAATAATAAAGAAATGAGATGTAATTAACAATTGTATTCTAAAATTAACTAAGTTTACAAATTATTCTACCATGGCTAAGTGAAATGCTCGAATTTGATTAGTCAATCAATAAATCGGCACTTCACTGCCGCACTGCTTCAATTTGACCACCAATATGGCTACTATCAACACAACAGACATGTAAATGCTATAAAACATTTATTATGACTCGAAAAATACAAATGTATGATTTTTCCTCCACAATTATTAGAGAAACTCACTATCATATTATATTACCTTCTATATTAAAAATATTCAAACTCAATTACAGTAAACAGGCCCCAAAAAAACAAACAATATCTAACTTGTAAATCCAAAAGCCTTGTTAAAATACATCTCTATCTATACAAATTTACAGCAAAATGGTAGTACAAATTTGCCTACCTGGTAAATGATATATATGTTTCCGTTTAGAATGTGAAATTTGCAAGATAACGGTCAGGCAAACACCAAATTTATATACTCCAACATGTCCTGTTGCATCGTTCAAAAAATACATGTCAAAATTTGAACCACCAGAATTCTGCTGTCTCAGCCTCTCTGCCAGCTTCCCCGCAAGGCTGTCACTGCTGGTGATCTATGTTCGTACACTTTGACAAAAAGCTTGGCCATAATCCAGTCCCAAATGATGAAAACAATGTTCCAAGGAATCCAAAGTTAGTGGCATGTACACAAAGCAGCATTGTCACTCTTTCGTCGCATGCAGGGGTGGAGTCACGTACGTAAAATCATGATCGACACTCGCCGGTCATAAAAATCAACAGTCTTTGGCGAGTTACAGGTCGTAGGTCGATCAGAAAAGGATCTATTCTTCGATTCTGCAGGGTTCAGATTCGACAGTCAGTGAAGTATTTTCCACAGTCATTTCAAATTTCAACCTTTCTCAAAATGTAAACACTGGTTCGTCCGCCATTTCAAACTGTTGCGCTGTCAGCTACTACTTCCAAGAAAATAAGTAGGTCAGACGATTCCATTATTGTGTGACCAGTGGGGTAGAGTAACACGGCACACAAAACAATAGGCTGGTTTCGGTATTTTGATGTTGGGATTATATAAACCAAGCTCTTAGGTATCACATTATTGCCTTGAATAAACAGTAGTTTCTTTTGTTTGGACAGAATATTTTTTAAGGGGCAGTGTGAAAAAAGATACGAACGGCACTTACCACCCCCTTCACAGACAATTTCAAATCGCCTCTCGTCCCATGCCGGATTATGCAGTGTCTTCCGCAGAACGAAGAAGTTCGATTTTAAGTCGGTAATGGTAGAATAGAGATGAACGTACTGTGTTTGGAAATTAGGTGAATGTTGGATCGAATTGATAGTCGCTAAATTAATCATTTGAAACCTCATGCTACACATTTGGCTTCAAATAAAATTTAGAGACTATCTATTCGGTCTTACATTCATCTAATTTCCAAACACAGCACGTTTATCTCCTAAATACAAACCCCTCCATGCGTACTACAGAGGTACAGTTCAAGGGCAATATAATACAAAAGCTGTGATCATAGCAATAAAGAGAGAGCTGGTAATATTCATGGCAACAGTAATCCAACTTTTAAGAAAGGCAGAGTACAGTGGGTAATACTGGGTACACTGATCATGACCCACTATACTGGTGTTCTTGTCACTTGAGATGTAATTGGGGAGATGAGATGCATAAGAAAAAGACTCCAGAATAGTCTCCAAAACCCTGGTTCAGAATATAATAGAAAGGCCCATAGGGTTGTAATCCTCTGTAGTATCTTCCAGAACTGTCTAAATACATCATACTACTGCCCTTCACTGACTTGCACATGTACAATGCTTTCAGCTTGTAAGTGTGTCCAGTATATTTCTTTTGCAACAAATTTTCACAGATTATGTCATAAGGTATTGTGATATGATTGTAGTGCTAAATTCTTAAGGTTTTATGTTGAACAGATTCAACAGGTCATGATCTGTATCATGTCAAAATTCCATGAATGTAGACATTTGATTGAATATTCAAGACGTAGTCTGAAAACATTGTGTTTGTGGAGTAAAGAACTTTTTATGATTAATGATTATAGCAGTCACAATTCTTACGAATACATCCCTCTACCACTTGATGGCCTTAATTCCTGAAACTTGTTTCTGATCCACAGGTTTCATTTGAATAAAAACATTTTAAGCCCATGATCTTGTTTTGTCCTTCTTCCTTGAGTTCTTCCCAAACGCTATCTGTTGGAGTTATCTCCCCTTGACGTGCAAGTGGGAACCTTATGATTTTTCCTGTGGCTCACATGAACACATGTGTCTACTTGTTCTCTGTTAAATTTCCCAGGCTTAACATTTCTGTTTCACTTTAAGTATAAACAATATATTTCAGCTTCACCTTCCGGCTACAAAACTTGTTTTATTCACAAAATGGTTATGTCCGCTCACGATCCTGGCCAGTGTTGGGAATTAGTGCAGATGCCATTTTCCTTCGTTTCCCAGTGCGATCTTTGTTGCTCTCAATCGCCTGCAGCATTCGAAAAGTATGCCATAGTGATAAAGAAAGATCAGTGATAAAGAAAGGAGATGGCTAAGAAGCGTCCCCTTACTCCTGCTATCATTACTGACGATCTGGAGATATCAACCGACATTCAGATTCATTCTTGATGCATGACCTTCTCCCCTTGTCAGCTGATATAGTGAGTGAGTTAAAATTTATCATCACATTGGCAATATTTCAGCCATATCGTGATGAGAACAATTCATTTTATACATAGTAATTAATAGTAAATTGTAAAAACCTGTCAACTAAGGACAGTAAAATAACTAGATAATCACAGATTCAAATTTAATACTAGTAATTAGATCTAAAACAGTTTAACTATAGATGACAATACAATATAAAAACAGGCTATATATTGCCAACAACTGAAGGTAGATCACCATACTAGGGACCATGGGGACTTACAGTACATTTGCTTCCTGCATGGACCCTAGCTGGATTTACACCATCCCTTCAGCTATTAGCAATTTTAGATAATCTAGCCACAAATTAAACGAACATATATTCTACAATTAAAAAAGGGGAGAGTTTAAATTTACTTTGAATGTTTTAGGACTTATGTATGCTCTCCGGAGGACAACCATTTTACAGTACTTTAATCCCCCCTTGAGGATACAGCCACTAACACATCTGATATAGACCAAGTCCAAGGCATGGATTTCATGGCCGGCTACACACGGACAGCACCAGCCATAAGGATAGGAAAGGAGCTGTTATCACACTTAGGGAGCACCCTGTTACTACCAGCCGCACATTCTGCACAGGACGTACAGATCATACAGATCGCAGGAGCAGTACTATCAGCTCGGAAAGCAGAGATTGCTCTCACCATAAAGCAATACACAGCACAGGATACACAGATACCTTGGATCGTACCATGACAGATACTGCTACCTCATCTAAGGATACAGCCAGTCATTGTACGTAAGAGGAACCGCAGCTGGCATCATCACTCGAACCCTCAGAACTCAAGTCAGCAATAATACACGTTTGCAGATAAAGTCACAGCCCTTGAAGTTATGTTTCGGGAGTCCATGCCACAAATGTCAGATCATGAGGAGGTGTGAGGCAGAAATTCCTCTGTTTAAAACCCGGCAGAAAGTAATCTTCCAGAGTCTTCATTTCAAGTCATGTATACTCAAGGATTTAAATGGAGGCATTAATTCATTGAAGTATCATGATCAGCTGGGACGTTCGGCATTACAGGGAACACTTGTATGCATCTGATTACAGGATTCACCTTTGAAACCACCCTCACTGGACTAGGGTTTCCAGGAGTTCTGGAGTTAAAGTCCTGGATCACCCTAGTATTAAGGGAAAAAGAATAGAGATTTATTTTCATGAATCCGTGAGACTGATAAACAATACACAACATGCCATACTCCCAAGCACTTGAGGATCAGCTGTTCAACAACAAATGTGAGGAAGCAATGGAAGTCCTGAAGTTGGAAGAGGACATGAAGTTTTATAGGGTCCTACCTTAAGTATCTTCTTTGCACCTGAGGCCCCAAGATCCCAGCCAGAGGAGGAGGAAGTTTTGCAAGCCTGGACCAAAGTCAAAGTTAACTTCTTAAACATCTCTCACCACCACTAGAAAGGATTCGCATCGGAGACAGGTGCCAGCTTTTCTGGTGAACATATTTCAGGGTTTGTCATCTATTATAGAAAATTGGAAGACCATAATAACCAACAAGTGGATCATCAAGGTCATCAAAGATGGGTACAAAGTACCATCTTCAGTTCATCAAGAGAACTCACTTGTCCAATGGGGCACCCCAATTAGTTTTGGGATCACAAATTGTCAGCAGCGATGAGAGCGATAGAAAGCTCCTAAATGCATATCTGAATGTACCTATCTCCCAAGAATATAAGCTTGCTGTCAACAGGAAATAATTCCATTTCAGAGTTCTACTCACAAATGAACTTTATGTTATTGTGGATAGTCTGGATTGCAATATTTTGGCTTGGTGTATCCCAGGGAAGATCAACATCCTTGCAGCCATGTTATCACACCTGGACAAAATTCTAAAAACAGAGTGGATGCTTCATCCAGATGTCTTCAGGCAGATCGTGATCAATTGGGAACAGCCTGACATAGATATGTCCACAACATCACTCAATAATCAGTTGCCAACTTATATCAGTCCTGTCCAAGATCCTAAAGCTTATGTAGGGAATGCCATGTTGACATCTTGGGAAGGAATGATTGCCTATGACTTTCCACAGACAGCACTCATCCCAAAAGTCCTAGCCAAGATCAGGAACCATCAAATGAAGATGTTTCTGATGGCACCTTGCATGCCTGACCTAATCATGTTCCCAGACCCTGGAAATGAGGCTGATTGTTATCACCCAGGAAGCTTCTTTCGCTGGATATTGTTGAGTCTAATGCCTCAAGTTTACACTACACAACTTAACTGGAAATTACGTCACAGTCCACCAAGATATGAAATACAGTAGCATGAGATGTTCTTGAGTGTTGTCATAACAACCAAGCACAGACCTATTCGTGTAAGCCTATGTGGGATCTGGCAATCAAGTGATAGAAGTACGTTGTATTCGTGAGAATCTTGAGAACTTATGGACAATGATAATAATGCTTAGAATTCTACGTCTAACACTTGAGGTAGAGGCATGCCCATCCATCCCCCTGTAAAGTAATGTAGAAACAATTATGTGGTTCCCACACGCATGCCAGGGGAGGATACCTCTAAGGAATAGCACCTTGGGAAGACCACTAGGAAGAAAGACAACACAAGATGACGGGTTTTAGTGGAATATATAATCCAAGTAGGCCTGTGGGTCAGAAACAAGTTTCAGGTAATTATTGCCCGCAATCAAGTGATAGAGGTAGTATTCTAAGAATTATCATCAATGTTGATAATACTTCAAAATTAATGATTAGCGTGTGCCAAACAGTCCCTATAAGCTGCTATTATGAATGTACATAGGATGGTACATCACTTTTTTATTACCTGCTTTTAATTGCAAATAATTTTTGTTTTTCAGGAGTTTTTATCACAGAAAAAATTTGTACACCGAGATTTAGCCACCCGTAATATATTAGTGTACAGTCACCGTCTGCTGAAGATATCAGATTTTGGTCTGTCACGTGACGTATACGAGACTAATGTCTACCAGCCAACTTCTGCCAGGAAACTCCCATACAAATGGATGGCACTTGAGTCTATATTTGACAACGTCTTCACCACAATGAGTGATGTGTAAGTTCTTCATTACGTACAAGTAATCACACAATTTATGTCACTACTTGCTGAACAGAAATAAACAGCCATTTGTGATGTTTTAGTTTCTGCTGTGACCTTCCTAGTCTAATCTAAATACCCTGGTATTACAGAAAAAATTATTTGATTTCAGTTTTATCTGTTGTGTTGGCAGATGGTCCTTTGGTATACTCTTGTGGGAAATAGTGACACTTGGTGGATGTCCATATCCTGGCATCCCAAACAAGGATCTCTTTCGGCTGCTAAAAGATGGTTATCGAATGGAAAAACCAGATAACTGCAGTCATGAAGTGTAAGTACATCATGTATCTGGCTACATTTGCTCATAAAAGGGCAAGCACACATTTCTCTCTACGCATTGTATCCAGCTTGAAAATAAGCATAAATATGACTTGACTCCACTCTTAAAATGCATTAGGGGTTAAATATACTATAAACAAAATATATGGGAGCACCTTAAAATTTGATAGTCATATATAAACTTTAACGTGGTGAGGTCATTATATACTCTAAGGTAAATGCAACGTTTTGTGTGCTTAAGGGGCACTCTAAACGGCATGTTGGAACATGCAGTGAAGTAACTGATTCAATATTCGTTGAGTTTGAGTGAAATGAAACATTGTTAAAAACAGCAAAACACACCAGCACCATGTTTGATTCAAAAGCCAAACACAACAGCCTACTACGTGTGGAAGACACAGTTGCAGCTTGTGGCAACGCGTGAATAAAACATGGACCCCTGATATTGACATGGACGTTGACCTAGACGGGTGGTAGAATAGCCCCGGTGTAACAGGTCAGAGTATACCCCTGTCCCAGACTATACCCGGGGTTAAACTGGGCTAGCCCAGACTATACCCCAGGTATAATCTGGGCTAGCCTAGTTTATACCCCGCGGTATATTCTGAACTAGGCCATAGTATACCCCCCTAGCCCAGATTATACCCCTACAGAAAGTGATTAAGGATACTACTATAATTTTATTGTACTTCTCACACAATTAAACACTAGTTACAACATTGAAATGGTCCGATACATTTTCCAGATACAAAGCATAATCAGTATGAGTTTTCAAGCTGAAGCTGGCAGGGTACATCAGCCATTCCATTGACTGACCAATTGCACTGTAAATATAAATGTCACATTTTAACAGACTGGCTGGTGACATAACTTCTGCATCTGTTGCCCAACTTCCATCTCGTGAAATTCCTGAATTAGTGATGTACTCATTGACATTTTGGTTCAGGAAATGTTTTAGTTCATCATTAATGTCATTGTTCAAATGCTGAACCACTCGATCTCGGATAGTGCTGTGACTGTCTTCGGATCCTGTCAGGCTGTAACAAGTAGCAGTTTCCGCCGCCTTTGGTTCTGTATGTCCGTCGGGGTGCTGTCAAGTCTGTTGATCTTCCCAGTCGACAGATGACATGGAAAAGAAACAGAGCAACTGACTTCGCGCTTTTATCCAGGATAGCAGCTGCCTCCGACCACTTGGAAAAATGGTCGGTTACCGCAACGATGTACTTGTTGCCGCTAGTTGTCTCTTGTAGAGGGCCGATGATGTCAATTCCAACGAGGCTTCAGATTTTGGCAGGCGCAGGAATGGAATGTAGTGGTGGTGCTTCTTTGTTGACTTCGGATTGATGACAAAGCACTTCGGACACGTCTTGACATATTCTTGCACGTTGTTCTTCATGCCTTTCCAATAATAACGCGAGGATATTTTGCCGAAGGTTTTATCTCTGCCAAAGTGCCCACCTGTAGCTGGGTTGTCATGGCATGCTTTCAGGATGCTTGGTAGGCGGCTTTTGGTGAGCAATTCCCTTTCACCATGACAGACAATTCCATTTGCTACCCGAAAAGGCTTGGCAGTTTGCTGATAATGTGACTTCGCATTCAAACGCATGTCAGGATCCAGGTCATAGATGTGCTGAGGATACTTCTGATCAGAGTTGGTGTAGAAGTTCAATATCTGGGTATAGAGGTTGTCATCCATGTTGAAGGTTGAATGCGATATAGGATGCCCGTAGTTAATCTGTTCATGTTGTACTACCCCGTTGCCCGAAATACCTTAGTTGTGTGTGCGACGCTAAATAAAGCAAATAACTAACTACTAACCTTGATATATCAGCATGGCTGGGTTACGCAAAGTCAAAAATATCATATTGCAGAGAGGCACTCAACAAATACTTAATAAATTTTGTATTATGCAGTAATGTAAATGAAATGCACTTACAAATTTCTTTAAATGACACCAAGACAATTGCCCGAGTCACACACTCAGATTGAGGGAATTGTCAACATAATTTATTAGGGGTAGTAGTAGATACAATGATAGTCCTGGACCAAGTCCAACAAAAAACCTCTGCAAAGCCTTATTTCCCAAATAAGGCTTTGGTCGGACCCTTAGCTCTTGCTACCATTGTATCTACTACTTTTGAGCCCCCGTTAATTTCGCGCCCACACGTGACACTACTGTGACACTATGTCACGTTGACATCGATGAAACAGTTTAATGTGAATCGCCTATGATCTCTTTGGTGTTCGTAATAAAGGCTTGCCGGGCTTTCCGCGTGTCGCGGTCTTGTTCTAGTTGGCGTTTTACATCACATAACTGCCTCAAGCGGAACCCGTCTACGGTTTCCAGGGTCTTCGCTACTTCCTCTACGACTGGGTACAGCCCCATCCTATAATATATATTACGAAAGATATTTTAATTGGGTTTCATTTAACCTTCGATTAATGTACTTAAAGCTGATAATGCTTAGATTAACGTGCGTGTAAAAAAGCAGGGTCTTAGCTCTAAGTCCATTAAGGAGACGAACTCCATCAAGGCTTGCTAAAGGTTCGTTTCCCGATACCTTAGTAATACGACAACTTTGGTTATTACACCTGTCTTCCCAAAATATCTTCATATCGTCTATAATGTAAATATATTTCCTAGTCCTATCTCCGAGATAGACGTCTATGATGAATGTGTAGTTTTCCGAAACAATTCTATCTAATCGGTAACTGAGAAATTTGATCTCTGTCTTTACCTTCTCACTGGAAACTAACATGTTACCCGAGATGTCTGGTATTGGTGTGACTCGTACACTAGATTCCGGAACGAACGATCCTATAATCATGCCGTTGTTCTTAATCTCGGAGATAGTATTATTTTGATTCAAGGAGATATAAGGTGAGGCGAGGGTTAAGTTGGCTAACCATTCAGGCTCTTTAAAATCTGATAACGGCATCCGCCTATACACGTTGTCTTTGAAGTGCAGGATGTATAAGGTGTCTTCCTCACCAGGCTGATCGAATCTAAGTCGTTAAGTGTAGTGTTGGGGCGAAGCCAAGACATTGCTATAATACTATTACGATATAATTTCCAACTGGTTTTCTGATAATAGTTCAGGGGTGCACTTCACCCCCATGAAGTGTATGTTGTCGGGTAGGAAGATCTTGGTTAGTGATATCGTGTCTTCCACGATCACGGTGACACCCTGCAGACTGGTTTTGCAGTCGACACCCACCCGCATGTAAACGTTGCAAACGTGATACTGGTGTTGTTTCCCCCACCGGAGTTTGACCCCCTTCACGATCTCGACATCATTCCGCGAAGGTTCCCCTAGGTAGACTTGGATGATCAGTGTTGAGTTTGCCTGTAGACTCTCCAGTATCTTGACCACGCCTTCGAATTCAGACACCAACTGCAATACCACGTTTTGCATGCCCGCTTTACTCGATAGCATGTGGGCTGCCATACTGGCGAGTGGGCTGATGACTACGCTACGTCTCTGAGTCGGGACGTAAGCCACAAGCAGGGTTCCGTTGTTCACGACTTTGTTTAGGTGGTTGTCTTTGTTATCCGTGAACACGTAGGGGGAGCCGAGCCTAATATTGAGAAACCAGTCGTCTTTATCGGGTAATAACATCCACTTGTCATCTTCAGTGAAGACGAGCATATACGGCTTGTTTCGGGCGACGGTAGTGCTCTCAACATCGGTTAAGTCGAACAGTTTGTCCCCGAACGATGGGTATATTATCCATTTATCATCCCCGGTGGTGACGAGGGTGTACTGAGTGTTGACTGCCGCTCTTGTGGTATCTACTATATCACTTAGGTTGCTAGTACCACCGATGGAGGGGACTTCAACGCGTTTGTAAATGCTGTTTTTCAGTTGCAAGGCGTACAATTTACCATCTACTCCGGGGTCGTCGAATCGGCGGTGTCCCCCGAGGTCGGAGATCCCCACATTGATGCATTTTTTCAACTTCATTCCGGGGCCTTGTGCGCTGGTCATTTTATGTGCAGCGTTATGCTGAGGTATCCTATATTCACGAGATTATGGTTTATATCTAACACCGATATTATCAGCTCAGGGATGTTGCCCTGGGTTAACCTCTTATACTGCGGCGGTGAAAACGATTTCGGTTCTACCGTCGTTGTATTTCTCTGTTTTCACCGATGCACGGCTCTCAGTATAGTGGAAGGGTGACCCCTTGAATGTTGTCCGTTGTGCTAACCTGGCTGAGATGAATGCACAGCTCTCGTACGGTACTAGGTCGGGTAACTTCATGCCTGTGGCGGTAGTTGTTGGTTTTATCTCGTCAGGGTGCATACCGAAAGTGTCCTCGCCAATGGTCGGCCGAGCCTCAAGGAGTTTCTTCCGTTGTTGATTAACACCACTGTGCCGTTTGAGTCGTTCATCTTGAGTTCGGCTCCCAGGGGTTTGAAGACCTCATCGCTTAGAGAGCACACGCTGTAGTAGCCGTCAGTTATCTGGTTGCTGCGCCACCTACTTAACAGTTTATTGTTGCTAGCGTTGATGTTAGTCCATCGCGGTAGGTAGGTGATATCGCACAGCGCGACTTCGAAGTTGACCCGGCGTGTTATCGATCGCGATCTCGCCAGCTGAACGGCCTCACCGCATTTCGTTATTCCTGGAAGTGTTATGTACATGTTAGAGTATATAAACTCATTATATAATAGTTTTAAAATGTACTCCCCTGGAGTGTTTTACCCTAAACTGGACGTAGATTTCCCCCACATGAAGATTGTGGTCGCTGCTGGGTTGTATTTCAACGCCCAGTTCAGAGATGTGTTCGACAAGTATAAATTTTCGGTGACTAACGCTAAGGTAGTTCATGCTTGGTTCAACAAACCGATGCAGTTCTGGCAAAATCAACTCAACTTCGCCGTGTGGTGCGTTACAACGGGGTGTGGTGTGACATTGACCGAAACTCGGCGTGGACCGCTGAGTCAGTCTGTATTCACGTTCCACGTGTACTACCAGGTCAGGCGTATCCTCAAAGAGATCAGCGCCCCGCTCCCACAGGAAAAGGCGTGGAACCCAGTAACAACCAGTACGATAAGACGGGCCTACTTAACGTATTTGCAACGAATTCGAACTAAACACGAAGACGGATTGGCATTTGCCGGGACCGAACCACGGGTTGGGTATCCCCATCGTTCATAACATGCACCTCGTTGATGCCAGGGAGAAATTGAAGGAATGGGGATACAAGTCGTATCATCACCTTACAACGAACGAGTGGGATGACCGTTACATGGCTTTCGACGACAGCAAGGATTACCGAGTCTGGAGGTTTGAACAGGGGCAGCGGATGACTGGAAAATGTTCATGCTGGACACGCCGAGAGGGTTCACACTCGTGCCGGGTAATCAGGTTAAACGACTTCGATTCAACGCATCGCGCGTGTGGCTGTTGTTGCGCGACGCTAAACGCTGCTCCAATATCCTAGGTAAGGGGACTGCTTACGACGCCAGAAACAGTTCGTTGTCAACGTTGAGGATGCTATCAATGCTCCAGTTGATCTACCGAGTGCCATGAAATGCTACCAAAACGTGTTGGAATACGCCAGGTCGAAAGTCGACTACGTGTTCGACGTGGGGCTGTACATGGCTCCGAGCGATATGCAACTGAGAGTAAAAAAAGTGGTGGGCTACAACAACGAAATAGTCATAGCCATGGCGGACCAAAAGTTGGGCATCAACCTCGATGTCAACGTCCCCCACGTCCCACCACCCACGACCGGTGAAACGGGTATAGTGGCGCCACCCCAGGAGCCTAGGATTCAACCAACACCCCCTGTGGGGTCACCCCCACAGCCTGAACACGTTCAGCAGCACATCGATCGTAAAACAGCCCTGGTGGTTGGTGGGGTAGCTTTGGGGCTCATTTGGTTAAAAATTCCTTAGCCGCTACGTACACCAAACCCGCCACGGCGACGATGGCTGCCCACAGGTTTTGACCGAGCCACGTGGCAGTTTTAGCCAGAGCGCTCAGCAGCCACGAGACGATGCTACCCAGGATGCCGGGCAGGGCTTCGGCGGCCTTACCAGCCAGTTTAGCCAGGGCTTCCCCTAGGGATTTCAGGTGTTTTTTTATCCACTCTTTGACACCCCACCACTTGGTGGTGTGCCAGCAGGCGTGGGGGTACCCCCTGTCAATGACACCACCAGGGTAGATATGATGAAGCCCAATGCAGTCAAAATGCTGGCGATGGTGATGCCTTGCTCCCGGAACAGGATCCGAATCCTGTCAGCTAGCTGGTGTCTTCATTTAGGACTCGATCGATGGTTTCGTGACGGCTGATTTGTGATCGGAGGGCTTCCCGGTTCGAGGAAGCGGATTCCAACTGAGTCTGTCTCTCGTCTTCCAAGTTTTTTATTCTTTCCTCGATACGACGTTTCATATCATCATCCTCCGTTTCGGTGAGTTTTATTTTCTCGCGGGCGATGCGCTCGTTGACTTCGTTCAGTTTCCCCATGTTGTTAACGAGTTCTCCGCGTACATGTTTCAAGGCTTCGTCTAGGCCTCGCAGTTCCCTCAGGGGAAATTCGAGCCCCGGCAAGGGTTTGTCATGGTACGTGGCCAATATTTTTTCGATACTGTCCGATGTTTCTTTAGCATCCCCAGTATTGGCCCTGGCTGCTTGCAGATCTTGGACGACCTTCGGGGAAAGCTTAGATCTTGCACCACCATAATCTATGAAGCCTAGTTCCTCACGGAGCAGTTGACTCCCACCAGGTCGACTGGTGAGTGTTGACAAAGCATATGGCTTCCCGTCTTTTTTCATGATATCGACCCCCGGGTGAGCCTTCAATCGCAGCGTGCCCTTCTTATCAACGATAAACTTGGAATAGTCCCTCCCCAACGGCTTGATGTTGTCTTTATTTTCAACTGCGTCGTAATAATCATCGACGGCCGACTGTACAAGTTCAGTACTTAAGGGGAACGAGGTTTCATCCTCGTCGAATGCCTGGGCACTATCATCCCACATATCCTCCATAGGGATGTACTCGGCCATTATTTAGTATTAAAACTTATATATTTCATTTATATAACAATGTATGGTAGAAAACTAGATCCTTTCAGAAGATCAAGAGAGCCACTAGGTGTCAGAGCCGTGCGCCAGTCGGGTACCATCACCAACAATCCCAGCAACATAGACCAGAATCAAACGCTGCTGGTTAGATTTCCAAACCTTGGCGTGAATGACCTCATTGTACCAGGCACGGTTTGACTGGCGTTCAACCTCATGTTGACCTCCAACAACGACAAACGCGAGCTAGTGCGGAACGTAGGTCGAGCCATCATCAAGAAAACCACCATCAAGATCAGCGGTAACGAGGTGCAGAGCATCGACGACAGCGACGTGTTTCACTGCTACGGGGATCTCTGGAAAAGCGAGGGAGAATGCGTCAATGACGTGTACCAAGGTATCAGCAAATCGACCCGGTTGCGCATGGGGTATGGCTTCACGCAAGACCAGCTAGACAAGATCACGGACGGTGACAAAGCCTTCGCTCAAGCGTACGGGAACAGGTTCTGCGTGCCGCTCGACTTTGAGTTGCTCACGTCACACGCGCCGTTTTACCAGGCCGCGCTTGGGGATAGGCTTGAATACGAGCTAACGTTTAACGACTACATCAAAGTAGTGCGTACGCCGAACGGCGATGAGGCCAGTTACGCCATAGACAACATCTCTCTGGAGTTCGACATGGTCACTAGCCCGGAGCTGGCCAGGCAGGTTCGAAGTCAGTACTTTCGGGAAGGTGGCCATCCTGTACGATCGCATACTGAGGCATAGATCAGTCGTCGCGGGATAAGAGAGCGACTCTGTGTGGAATATCAACCTGAACGTGCTGGCGCGATCGATGAAAGGCATCCTGGTCAGCCCCCCGTGGAGGATTACGAGCCATTCCAGAGGGATAGCGAGAAGTTTTTCAACCCCGAGATTGAAAAGGTGGAAGTGACCATCGAGGCGTGCCCAACCAGCTGTTCAGTCATGGTATGAGGGCATACCAGCAGTGGGATGAGATAAAAAAGCTACCGGCCATCAAACAACACCCATACATAACCAAAGACCTGGACCTATCCTCCGTGCAGATCGGTGAATACCTGACCACCAAGTACGCGCTATGGTTGGACATGCGATCCACGGATGATGATAAACTGCACGGTAGCGGTCGCCGCATCGATAACGGCAGCGAGGGGATAACAATCCAGATTACCAAGAAGGCTCAACCCGCTGGCAAGTTGAAATTATATCTATACGTTATTATGGACGCGCAACTTAATATAGACAATGGGAGACGCGTGCAAGCCATCTACTGATGGCGGCAAGCCATTTATTAATTTACCCCGCGACCCACACTGCGCCATAGTGTGCGGGCAGACTGGCTGTGGGAAGACCGTTTTCGTGTTGGATATGTTGGAGGGGTACTACAGGGATGTGTTCGACCACATCGTTATCATGTGCCCTACTCTGAGAATGAATAAAACGTACACGGAAAGACCTTGGGTGATGACGGACCCAGACGTACACAAAGTCGACCCGGGAACACGCCTGCAGGACTGGTTGAAAGCTCTTCACGAGAAATTTAAAGGGGAGTCGACGCTATTCATACTGGACGACTGCAGCGCTAATCGCGAGATAACAAAAAAGAGAGACATGCTATCGTACCTGGCCTTCTCCGGCCGGCACGCAAATCACAGCGTCTGGTGCTAACGCAGAAGTTCAACTCCGTGTTGAAAGACCTCAGGGAGCAGACGCGATGGGTGGCCTTATTTCACTGCAAGGACAGGGATTCGTTCGAGGAGTGTTTGAGAGAGAACGATGTGATGAGCAAACATGATAGGGAACGGGTGAAGAAACAGCTCGCTGAAACTAAACACGCTAAGCTAGTGCTCAAGACCGACCAACCCGTGGCTTATAGGGTGTTTTAGCTTAGCAATGCTTAGCAAAGCTTAGCAAAGCTTAGCAAATGCTTAGCAATGCTTAGTAAATGCTTAGCGTTTAGCACTTATCAGTTATAGTTATAGTTATGGTTGTTTTTGAAGTGTTCGTTGTGTGCAACTTAACTTTCATTTCTCTGTGTTTCGCCTATACCGTATATCATATTGTTAAAACTAAAACTTACTTGTTACATTATAAGATGGAGTGTGAGGAATTGCTAGAGCAACTGTTGGTGCCAGTGGGAGATGATAAGAGTGATGATAAGTGAGAGAGACTGGTGGCGCTGGCTATTGGTGGTAAAGCCAAACATTACTTTGGGGACTACACTCCCGATAAAATTCACAAAATGTCAGCCGAAGAAATCGATAAGCTGTACGCTAGATACGAGTCCCGGCTCGGGGCCGAGATGACAAAGACAATAGGATCGGCTATGACCCAGATATACACTGGTATTGCCTCATACTTCCTTCCCATCCCCCCGGAGCGCCGACTTTACCTGTGGGAAGACCTTGAGAAAGACCCTTTTATTGAACACGCCTTGAGCTCTATCAGCTGCGAGCTGTACCACAAATATGGTATGTTGTTAGCCCCGGTGACGGCGGCGATTATCACGGCAAAGCATTGCCAATTTAAGGAGGGGAAAAATAATAATAATAGTATAGATGGATGCTGCACAGGAGGAGACACCAACGTTGGGGAAACCCCAACTGGAGGAGACCCCTTCAGAGGAGATGGGGAAACCCCAACTGGAGGAGATGGGGGAACCCCAACCCCCTACAGTAGCCAGGCAGAAGAATCCTAAGAGAGTAGCTGCCGGTAAAAAACGGTGGTGTAACCAACATAAAATTATCACGGTGACTCACCCGACCCGACTCTTGTTGGCTGTAGGCGTAACTGCTGCCGTGGTTATCTCATGGTTATATACACGACACAGGGATCCTGGGGATCCGGCCCCACAATTAGAGGTCAACCCACATATCATGTTATAATTTAATATTTTTATATCATATACATAATGTCTGAGGGGAAAACGTTCGTCAACGACGCATACCACGCCACCGTGGTCGCCAGTCTAGCCGTAGGGTACGCTCGGTTGACCAAAATGGTGCTTAAACAACCTAATATCAAGCTAGATTTCAACCTGCAGGATATGGGTATGCTCATAATGAACCTTGGTATGGCGATGGCCACAAAAGACATCCTCGTAAAACAAGGGATACTACCTGAAAATATTATGAAGTAAATATAGGATGGCTACGATTGCCATGATGGTCGGTGGTGCGTTAGTAAATGCCCTAGCATTTTCCGGGAGTAATTTCCTCTTCTCGAAACTACGAGAGTCACACGCGGCTGAAATACAGGAAGAAAGGAAGCGACATAACCTTGCTATTGAGAAATTACAGACAGCACAATCCGAGTATGCTAAAAAATGCCTTCAGAGGATCGATTACATTAACGAACAGCTCAGGCGTGAAAACCATGCCGTTCAAACATTCCACGATGTCGACGAGGCAGCAAGAGAATACTTCTTATTAACAGGTAAACGGTTGGAACCACTCAATAAACCTACACTCGCTCAGTACTACACACCATCCAAGGGGCAAATGGACCGTGAACTGGTCTTCATAGCGCTGGGTATAGCAGCGACTGCGTTGGTTGCGAAACAATTAGACTAAGTACTCATATAAGTATGCTAAACATGAGACCTGCTCCATACCGATGCGAATACATACTTATGGGGAAGAAAGAAGCCTGTGATAGGAGATGTAGGACCGAGGGGTACTGTTGTTTCCACATGGGAAGTCCTAACTACACGTGTTCTGTGTGTGGTATAGGGGTTAAAGGGCACTACTGCCTATGCAAAGCTCACGGGGCAAACGTAGTCAGACATCACCTCATCTACGAGAATAAAAAAGCCTACATAAAAGAACGTAGGCGACTTCTCAGGATAGACCCCCAATTAGAGCCTGTGCACACTTAGGTATAGCTATGTTTGTGGAAATTGACCCCAGGGACATCGAATCTCTGGTTAAAAACATACTCAAAGATGAACTGAACTTATGGGGACGCTTCAGATTTCAGGTCATATTGGAAGTGGCATGGATTAAGGAGGGTGTTAAGTATTCACATGTGGGCGGGACATCACGACTCAATACCAAATAAATTGTTTTACAAGTATACAGGAATACCTGTACAACTTCAAGGAATACTATGTCCAACAATGTGAGTACTGGATTGAAACGGTCCATCTAGTGATTTTATGAGCGCCTCACTATATTTTTATCAAGTTACCTCCCTTTGCCAGTGACCCAATTAGAGATTGTGCACACCTACGTATAGCTATGTTTGTGGAAATTGAGTCCAGGGATGTGGGGAAAAGTATAGAACACCTTACTATGCTGTGGTGGGCCGATAAGGTCTATCTCTAATTTTTCTACCTTTACGGCGGTCCAATTAGACATTGATTCTCTTAGGTGTCTACGCAACTATGACTACTATACGTGAGCTCAAACAAATCGCCAGACGCTGTGGTGTGATCGGGTATTCTCGAATGAGGAAGCCAGCCTTGTTGAAATTACTAGGTTTAGAAGCCCCTCCCACGGTAAAACAATTAAAAGTCCAGGCAAAACAGCTTGGGCTCACGGGTTATTCAAACCTGGGGAGAGCCGGGTTAATCGCATTGTTATCACATGCCCCCGTAGCAAAACCTCCCACTGTAAAACAATTACAAGCCGAGGCACGTAATTTGGGGTTAGAGGGATATTCCCATATGAGGAAACCACAGCTTGTAGAACTATTACGGCAGAATAGAGCTATTGATCTACAGTTCGTGCGCATTGAGCGCGCTGTAGGTAACTATTTGAGAGGCTGGCGCATGCATGTTGATAGGAACATAGACATCACAGATATCAAGCCTCTGATAGCTTATAAGGTCAACCAGGAACTAAACGATCTAGGAAGTATCAAATTTCAGATCACAGTTAAAATGTCGCTCGATAAGCAGGTAGGGGGAGGGGTCACTGAGTACATTCAGCCTTACTTCCGAGGTAAACAAGAAATAGTCACGCATACAGAGACCATAGACGCATCAATCGATACCAGTTTTCAGCAGATACGAGAATACCTAGAACGCTACACACTCTTGGGGTCCGGGTGGGCTGTAGATAAAATCGATAATGACATAGCTAACTACGTGCCTTTCAGAGGCGGGTCATACCTAGACTTGTCCCCCTACTATAAGAAAAAACATGCCATGGTCAACGTCAAGAACAGAGGAGACGATTGCCTGAGGGTAGCTACCAGGTCAGCCTTGTTTCCAGCTGACACTCATTCAGACAGGCTTTCTAGCTATCCCCAAGATGATGGGCTCAACTGGGATGGTATAGATGAACCAACCCCCATATCCCAGATCACTAAAGTAGAAAAACAGAATAATCTAGCCTATAACGTCTTTGGGCATGAAGGCAACACAACAATAGTACACAGGGTCAGCCCAGTGTTGGGGGAGGAGGGTCGCCAAGTTATCAATATATTCATGATCCAACGAGGTGAGAAGTATCACTACACGTGGATAAAATATCTCAGTCGGTTGTTGCACGACCAGTCGAAACACGTTGGGAAAAAACACTTGTGTGCGATGCCTGCACGGTTTCAGCCGAGCTGATTTATTAGAATCCCACCGGGAGGATTGCCAAGGTGTGGGGCAGACGGCCATACGAGTCGACATGCCTAAGGAAGGTGACAATATCCTAAAAGTTGGCAACCACAAGAACCAAATGTCTGTGCCTTATATCATCTACGCCGACTTTGAAGCCTTGGTCAAACCAGTTGAGGTTGTTGGGGATACCCCAACCACACACAAAACACAGGAGCATGAAGCCTGTGGGTTTGGATACGTTGTCGTCCGTTGTGACGGGGAAACGAAAGCTCCGGTAGTGTACAGGGGTCCCGACGCGGCTGAAAGGTTTCTAAAGTCTTTGCAGGAGAAGGGAAAAAATTATTAGGAATACACTGTATACAATCGCTCCCATGCGTATGACCCGAGCCGACCGACTAGCTCACGCCTGTAGCACTAATTGTCACGTGTGTGACTCACCACTTAACGGTGATTCGGTGAGAGATCACTGTCACGTAACCGGTAAGTATAGAGGCACCGCTCACAGCGCGTGTAACCTCAAGCTTAGAATCAACCCTAAGATAATAAACTTGAGAGGGTACGACTCTCACTTGATCATGCAGGCCATCGCGAAAATCGATGGCAATATAACGTGCATCCCCAACAACATGGAGAGATACATTTCCTTCAGCTTAAACGGCCTTAGGTTCATCGACTCGGTTCAGTTCCTCCTGTCGTCACTTTCGACAGTCTGGTCAAGGCCAACGATACCTTCCCTATTACCGATCGATACACAGACGCTGAGACTAGACCCCTGCTTATGAGGAAGGGTGTGTATCCCTGCGAGAACATGGATGGTTGGGCCAAGTTCGCCGAGACCAGACTACTCCCCATCGGAGAATTTTACAGCAATCTGACAGACTCGGAAATATCTCAAGACGATTACTCACACGCTATTAACGTATGGAATAAACTGGGTTGTAAGAATCTGGGTGACTACCACGACCTGTACTTGAGGACAGATGTACTGCTGTTAGCCGACGTGTTTGAGACGTTTAGGCGGACATGTTTCAAGCAGTATAAACTCAACCCCGCATGGTATTACACCAGCCCAGGTCTGTCATGGGATGCCTTGCTTAAAAATACCGGAGTTAAGTTAGAATTACTCACAGATTATGACATGCACCTATTCATTGAGAAAGGCTTGCGAGGCGGGATCTCCATGGCAACCAAATGATACGCGAAAGCAAATAATCAATACGTGAAGGGCTACGACCCTAGCAAGCCAACCAATCACATTCTCTACCTCGACGCCAACAACCTGTACGGCTGGGCCATGAGCCAGTATCTACCCACAGGGGGATTCGAATGGGTGTCACATGAGGTCGATGTTATGAGCATCGCACCAGACTCGAACAAAGGTTATATCCTCGAGGTTGACTTAGAATACCCCAAGGCATTACACACATCACACAACAGTTACCCCCTGGCCCCCAAACGTATGAGGGTTAACCCAGACTCGATGTCTGAATACCAACATAACTTGTTAGGTGGGCGGGTGGCAGACATTGAAAAACTCGTGCCCAACTTAATGAATAAGACCAAGTACATCGTTCACTATCGCAACCTACAGCTGTACCTGTCGTTGGGTATGAGGCTGACTAAAATACACAGGGTGCTCGTGTTCAACCAGAGCCCATGGATGGAGCCTTACATCAGAATGAACACAGACCTCCGAAAGCTTGCCACCAGTGACTTTGAGAAAAATCTCTATAAGCTCATGAACAACTCGGTGTTCGGTAAGACGATGGAGAACCTGAGGAAAGCAGCGTGACCGTGAAGCTGGTTCGGTCGAATGAGGAAGACAAGCTCAGGAGACTGATAGCCAGTCCGGCATTCAACCGTAGCAAAATATTCACCGATGACCTAGTTGCCCTACACATGAAGAAAAGCCACATAAAATTCAACCGGCCTGTTTACGTGGGGATGAGCATCCTCGATTTATCCAAACACCTGATGTACGACTTTTACTACAACAAGCTTAAGAAACAGTCACGGCGACAGGGGTGAAGTGCTGTACACTGACACGGATTCCCTGCTGATGGAGATTCGAACCAAGGATGTGTACGAGGACATGAAAAAACACCTCGATTTGTATGACACCAGCGACTACCCCAAGGACCATGCCATACACAGCACGGTAAATAAAAAGGTCCTAGGTAAGATGAAGGACGAGTGTGCTGGCACGCCCATAGCCGAGTACATAGGTTTGAGACTTAAGATGTACTCCATCCTGAAGGCCGACAATAGTGAGATCCGGAAGGCTAAGGGTGTTAAGAAGTACGTGGTTAAACAACACATCAAACACGCCAGATTCAAGGAAGCCCTGTTCAAGACCCGTACCTTTAGACATAAAATGAACACACTTAGAAGTGATGGCCATAGGATATACGGACTTACTATAAACAAGATGTCCCTGTCGCCGATGGACACTAAACGTTGGATAGCTATTGATGGGATAAACACGTACGCGTACGGGCATGAGAAAATTGAACCAAGAACATAGGTATATAAATACCCTGTCGGGACGACATGTCACAGAACCAGAGAAAGTTTGAGGCTATTTACTATAGCCCGCGTGGGTACTGGAAAGGAGCTAGAGCTGTAGATAAGCTGGCTAAAATGGTGAGTACCGCCCGAGGAGGAGCCAAAGCGTGGCTTGAAAAACAAGCCCTGTGGCAGATCTATTTGCCGCCACCACGCTACGTGCCTAGAAGGAAGTTTGGTATTAACATACCCAATAGCGTTCACCAGGCAGACCTACTGTTCCTACCCCACGACAAGAGGTACAAGTATGCCTTAACCGTAGTGGACGTAGCCAGTCGCTACAAGGAAGCCGAACCCTTGACAACGAAAGACTCTGCCCAGGTAGCCAGAGGATTTGAACGCATATACAAACTCAGTCCGCTGACGTGGCCAACAGAGCTGCAAGTTGACCCCGGGCCGGAGTTCATGGGTGTCGTGTCACAACTGCTAGCCAAACACGATACAAAGGTCAGGCGTGGCACGGCCGGAGCCCATCGCAGCCAAGCCATAGTTGAGAGATTTAATAGGACTTTGGCTGAGCGCTTATTTGAAGGAGAAACAGATACCAGATAGGGCCCTAGTTAGGTATCTATACCAGCCTGGGGAACATGAGGGTGATAGCCGTAAGCGATCCACTGACCCAATATGGTCAGTCAAAACTTACAACATAGATAAAGTGGACATCAAAGCAGACGAGCCTAACTTGTACTACTTGAGGGATGGGCCAGGCAGAGGTCTCGTTAGACAGGAATTATTGATCGTACCGTATGACACAATGTTACCTCCTGTCAACACGGCATAGTGTCATGTGATCAGGAAAGTGCTATCCCAGGATAGATCCGTTAAACCGAGATTGTTCAGCTAAGTCCCCGGTAGCTCAATCGTTGAGTGGTGCGGCCCATTATGTATAGTTTGCGCGAGCTATACATGTGGGTTCGTATCCCGCCGTTGCCTCAGGAGATTCCTTGCAACTTTGTGTGATGTGAGGTGTTTCGGTAAGGTATCCCTTAGTGGGGCACTCTCATGGCGAGAGAAAGGCAGCCAACTCAATTCCCTTTGGGAGAAGCGCAACATCATCTTTCTTTCTCCCTTGGGGAATTGTGGCTGCCGGGGACATTTTACTACTTTTTAGAACCTTTCTCTCTTTCTATAGGGCGGGAAATCAACGGGGGCTCAAAAGTAGTAGATACAATGGTAGCAAGAGCTAAGGGTCCGACCAAAGCCTTATTTGGGAAATAAGGCTTTGCAGAGGCTTTTGTTGGACTTGGTCCAGGACTATCATTGTATCTACTACTGGGGTATAGTCTGGGCTGGAGGGGTATACTTTGGCCTGGTCCAGAATATACTCCCGGGGTATAAAATGGGCTAGCCTATAGTTTACCCCGTGGTATAATCTGGTGGGGGGTTATTCTGGGCTGCTACACCGGTTTTACCAATCATCTGGTCATGTCGAGCCCTGTGCATTGCTTGTATCTGCACAAATCATATTATGAACTATATTTTTTAGTCTTGGCCCTTCGTGTTTGTAAAACATCATTTGATTTTGAAATATGTCCTGTTTAATTTGCCTAGGGTCTTATGCCCAGAACGCCATGGCTAATGGGCCAATCTGGTAGATTGATTGATTGTTTATATCTTTTTGCTTGAGTATATCATCCCAGTATACCTTGGTGCTGCAAGTCTAAGATCCACTTGTATACAGCATTGTCTTTATGATACACCAACATGGATCTCGAGACCCCGTTGAAAACAAAACACGTCAATTTGACAATGATCATATTGCTAATGAAGGTTGACAACCTCCTAAACAAGTTGAATACTGACCGAGAATTATAGTTCCAGAATTAGACAAGCAACATATAAACTGAACCCATTTGCGATTTCAAAAGGATTGCATGGAATAGCAGGTGATGTCAAGACTATCAAACATATGAGATCCAGGTCAATTCTAATTGAATGTGCCAAAAGACAGCAAGCAAATAACTTACTCATACGGGTCTATATCTTTTTGATATTTGCATAGTGTGCAGTTTAGTGATTTTCGACGTTGATTGGTCAATCATATATTTCAAACCGAAACGTGAGTCTCATTAACCAATTCAGACAATTGTTATGAGAGTGTGTTTTTGTAATATCATTGATTAGGTTATAGTTATTATGGGTCACAATGTTTAAAGTTTTGATTGTAGGTTGCTGCTTGCATCGTATGTGTTCAACGGCAATAGTATTTTTAGAGGTACGCCTTTTGAGATAGCACTTCAGAGTTGCCTCCCTTGGCTGGCTTTATTTTGTTTTGACTTCCAGTCATATGTTCGAGAAAATCGCCTGATGTTCTGAGTGGATAATGATGCTGCCTAGTTTTGCTAGAATGCTCGAGAACTGTGTAAGAGCTATATAAAGGCTGGTTGTTGTGTTGTACACAGGACTTTTGACTGGATTTATGTACATCTTACTGCCATCGTCAACATTTCAAGACTGATCGTGCTTGCCTATTCGTCTATTGTCATTTTGAACAACCTTCAGTCAGTATATCTGCTCTCACTGTAAATGTCAAGACTCTGGTGAGTTAATATTTTATATTTGTGATCCAATATTTTAGATTTGTGACTCAATTGCATTGTACTAGAGATCTGTATTGTCATTCATTGTAGCTTGCTCATTGTTTGTTCAATACATTATTGAATATTTTAGACTTGTCTGTGTTCCATTTTGCTAGTTCAAAGGGGACTTTTAAACCTTTTGTCACGGCAAATTATTAACCGTAACAAAATTGGGGGCTCGTCCAGGATAGAATTCATTTGACATTTGAGACCTATTGTGAAAATTATTTCAAATCCTGCAATTTTGCAACGAGGTAATTGTGAAACCAGCAAAATGGTGTTTGAAATTGAGAAGTTTCTTAAGTCTCCTGACCCTGAGACAGTCAGTGAATTGCGCAAATCAGATTTATTGCAAATTTCTTCACATTTCAAACTTGAGGCCAAACCGTCCATGTGGAAATTTCAGCTTTGAAAATTGTGTTGCATCACTATATTAATGAGGGAGTTTTTGAACACGAAGTTTTGGAAATGGTGAAACTTCAATTGCAAATTCTAAAAGAAGAAAATAGAAAACAAGAAGAGTTAAAAATGATGAAATTGAACTGAAAAGGCCAGAAAATTCTTGTCCTCCCTCTAATTCTTCCTCTTTTGACATTGCAAGGCACGCAAGACTGGTACCCCCTTTTAATGAGAAAGAAGAAGACAAATACTTTCTACACTTTGAAAAAATTGCTGAAAACCTCAAGTGGCCTAAGGAGTCATGGACTATGCTACTGAAAACTGTTTTGAAGGGTAAAACTCAGGATGCTTATTCAGCCTTGTCGATACAGCAAAGCTCTAACTATGATCTTGTCAAAAGGACACTTTTAAAAGCTTATGAGTTAGTGCCTGAAGCTTATCGTCAGAAATTCGGAAATGCTCACAAAAGGGACAATGACTTTTGTAGAATTTCTTAGAGAAAAGGAAATTTTGTTTGATAGGTGGTGTGGGTCTAAGGAAGTCACAGATTTTGATAGTTTGAGACAGTTAGTTTTGATGGAGGATTTCAAGCAGAGTGTTCATTCTGATCTCAAGACTTCTTTGGATGAACATAAGGTTAATGACTTACATGAGGCAGCAATGTTGGCAGATGATTATTGTTTGACTCATAAGGGTTCTTTTAGGTCTCGGGTAATACCAAGTTTCTGGCCGAAAGGGCTTTACCCGGGTAAGACTTCAGGACACGCAGGTTACAATGCTGTTAGAACAGGTTCAAATTCTCCTGACAAGCAGTCACATTCTTTTCAGTCTAAGCATAAGCCTTCCAGTGGTTCTGATCCTGTTTGTGCATATTGTAAGAAGCCAGGTCATTTCATTTCTGCATGTTACAAACTCCAGCTTGCTCATTGTTTGTTCAATATGTTATTGAATATTTTAGACTTGTCTGTGTTCTATTTTGCTGGTTCAAAGGGGCAAATTAATAACCGAACACAATTACCTACTTTTCAGCTGATCTGAATTTTCTCGTGTGAAAGTGAAAAGAGACACTTCAAACAACCATGGTTACACCGAATCCCAATTCCTTGTTTCATAAGAAAATGGCATTTGCAAATGAATTTTAATTTTAAACTTTAAAAAAGTCGTATTTCTATATTTTATGACGAGGTTTAGGCAGCGTGTCGTTAACTAAGACGTCCCAGACTGCCCCTGTTTAAGAGGTTGTACAATGATTCAAAATTCATCTGGCTCACTGGTTACACCTGTTATAAGCTTTTTTTTGGCTAATTAAATGAAGTTTTGTAACATACAATGTGATTGATATCAATATCAATTCCGTACCAGACCACCAAACATTTCTAGCGGCCGAGCCGAATTCCACGATTTCCGGACTCGTTTTTGAACTAACTTGCGGAATAGCATGGAACCCAGTCAGCAAGAAACTTTGTGTAAGCAATGTTTTGACTTGTACATTTTCATCGGATGCTGGAACTACTTTCACACAACTATGTCCATTAGTAATATTTTATCGATTCATTGATCAATTGACCATACTGTAATCGCACTGATTCGAGATTTTAAAATAGAACCACCAAAAAACATACAGGTTTTCGATTTTGATGCTAATTTAAAGCTTTATGTCATACTTCATTAACAATATGGCGTCATGTACTAAATTTTGGAATAAAAAATGTCTAACATTGATATAAATCGTCTTTTGTAAACGAAGATAGCTACCCAGTTAATTCCAACCAAAGTCAATGACCTGGTCAAGGTGGATGGTTTCATTACTGGACATGTAACGAGAATAACAACCACTAAATTCCTTTCACGTGTATGTGATGAACACTAAATATGGTGAAATGGAAGTCGCAAGGTATAGACTGAAAGTGTTGCCGGAAACAATATCAAGCGAGCTGGCATCTCGCCGAAGTCCCCACTTGCCTTGGATTGTCATAAATGGCATACTGCAAGATGATTTTTTACCCCCAATCGAACACAGAACTTTTGACAGGTTTGTTCCTGTTTTGACCATGACATTGACAACTTTTTGGCTGTGAACAAAAGATGTTGTCAACTCAGACTAAATTTAGGACACTGACGCAGGCCAAAACTAGATCACAGTCCGTTTCAGCAAAATGTTGACAAACGTTCTTAATTGTGTACCGTCTTTGAGTCTTCTTAAAAACACTTAACCATTCCTGCTTTTTATTGTTCCCTTGCAGATATATCCTGTTTTACAAGTTAACAATTGACAGGTTGTTGCTGTTTTGTATCCAACAACAGTCGCACACCTTCTGACACAAGTAGGCTAAATCGGCACATTTGCCATCTACGACTAAATATTGAATATGTGACTGTACTGGTTGAAAATAAGTTTAATCTTTACAAGAGGGTGTGGTTAATAACATCTCCATCAAACGAATTTGAAAACTATTGAATTGTGTTGTTTTTCATACCGATTTCTTCAGTACTATATTGTGGTTCGCGTTCGATTCCATTAGGATTGAGCAGTTTTGTTTCATCCGCTCATTCAGACAGATCAGCTGATTTAGTTCTAAACACTTACATGAGAAGATGCGGCTTTGAAATCATAAGTACCGGTGTCTCAGTTTAATAACAGAATTGGTAATAAATAGAATAATCACAAGGTACGAGTAATTACGGGATATATGTCTCTCGTGAAGTTAATGTTCAAGTGCAAGTGAACATTAATTTCATACACAGTGAACATTAATTTCCCGTAATCACTTGTACCTCATGGGTTATTCTCTAAATACATTGGCTGGGCTCCCTGTTTCAGTATCTGTCCACATATTGCTCAATTCAAATGCAACAGCGCTCTGTTTGTGTACTCCAAAAGAATACAAACGGCTGTGGGTTGTGAGGCGGAAACGTTTATTTTGGGTCTACATTTGAATACAGCCTAAAAGAACATAAGGAAATATATATAAAATGGAATCCAATAGATATGCACATGTTTAAATTAATACAAGTCACTTGATATCGATGTGCAACTTCTTTATTATTTACACACAACGTTTCAGGGCTAATACTTGCCCCTTCATCAGGTGAATACAGTGAATAGTTACAGAGGTATATATAGTATGTACAGGAAGCCACAGAGTTGTTTTTACAAAGGTATATACAGTATGTACTTGAAGCCACAGTGCTGTGCTTACAATAAATTAGTGAGAGAATTAAGTTAAATAGGGTATACATACTGTTTGTATACCCTATCCAAAACAGACAGGTAAAGCATTGGAAACGATGGTACTTCCTCCTGCGGAGACAGCAGGTAGAAAGGTTTGGGCTGCTGC